CAAAAGGAATCATGCCTATAATTGGTATATCCCTAGACAAGATGTCTGGGTTTATTCTTCCAAAAGCTAAAAGGCAATATTATATTGAGGTGCAGTAGGTAGTAGTAGTATTAAATAGTAATAAACTAATTTGAGTGTTTTGAATATTATACTTGTTATGTAAATTTCAGATTTTCTGTATGCGTGTTTTCCATGAAAATTCTTCGAACACACTGAAGATTCCAGATATAAATCGCATTTCTGATAAGTAATGAAATTATATTACTATGATTTTTATTATTTATATCTTTATAAAAATGTTAAGCCCACACTAGGAGTTTCTCATCATGGAGGTGTTTTACAAACATGAATTTCCCATAGAAAATATCCACATGTACAACCACAATTTCGTTAATTGACGACCTGGTAAGACATGCAGGAAGTCGATGGATGCAGGTGGCTCAGGACCTTGCTTTGTGGCATTCCTTGGGGGAGGCCTATGTTCAGCAGTGGGCTGTAATTATGATGATGATGAACCACAATTTGACATATATAAGTTCTGTACGGAAAAAGAACCCACGACCCGCAATGCTTACACATTAACATTTTTTTTCGGAAAAAACATATAGAATACTTTTTAACCCGAAAAATGCACAGTTCCTGTGAGATTTAAATTAAGTTAAATTACGTGTTTGGGTGTCTGTTTACTATGTTTAAATAATTGTATAATTATCTGCACAAAAAAATTGGTTGAATTCTCTTTTCTCGAACCGAAGCGGCGAGAAGATTAATCAAACGATGTTGTGATGGCGCTCAGCTACAAAACCGATGATTTACTAATCCATGTGAAAGAAATGGCTTTTTAAGGCCAGCAATGTTTGTGTAATGAAGATGGGGGACTCTTCTTTCTTTACGCAACTGGGGGTACGGGGTAAACATTCGTACTGAACTAATTGCTTACCCAACATCACAAGGACCGCAATACCGCCTTTGCAATAGCTTCCTCGGGCATTGCTGCAACGTCACTCAACGCTGGACGGACTGCACATTCGGTATTCAAATTGCCACTTAATCTTGCATGCGGAGAAATTATAACCCGCAACATTACTAAGAGTAGTGGCTGCATGAACCTTTACGTTGACCGTGTGGGATGAGTGCACGGTGTAGCATAAGCGTGCGGTACAGGCCTAAAAACAACCTGTAGGACATCCGCAGCAATCAGGCTCTGATGGCTTATGTTGTCTCAGGTGATTTCATTGTCAGTTATTCAGAGAGGTATTTGTATGAAATGGTCGTTCACTTTCCTTTAATATGGTCGAGGGGTCGATGGCTATTACATGCGTCATACTTGTGAACAGGTGCTGCTTGTGGATTACTGGTCTATTCGGGTACACTATACGCTGATAAGTTCCAAAATTTAAATCGTTTTTTTTGTGAGTACATCATAGAGCATACTTCAGTTTTTTTTTACAGAATAAGGGTGACAAACGAGGACACAGTCCACCTGATGGTAAGTGGATGCTGTGGCCCATAGACATCTACATTTATTCACGATTAAAAATCAAAATGCAGATGTGTTGTCACCCCTGAGAACTAAGATGGAATGCCTCGTTTCCAGTAAAAAGGGTCTCCGGTTCTCTACATACACCATATGATAACAACAGCATTTAGCTGGTTATTTGGTAAATTCGATGGCTATACCACTAGTATAGCGCTTCACAGAGACAGATGGTAACCATGAGATCCTTCCCTCAATTTCTGACCGCACCGCTGTTATTTTTAATTGCAATTTTAACTATTGATTTACTGTATGCTCGGCGATGAAGGAAAACATCTAGATGAAATCTACATGTCAAAGAATTAAAAAAAATCGAGCACATATATATGTAAAGTCCGCGCAATACGTATTGGAGCAAACAAACTGGCTTTTCAAAACTCTCTTAGAAATGAGAACAAGCCTGTGCTAAGCTGTGGAAACCTTGTAAGTTGCTATGTTACTTTAAGACAAGTCGACTTTACAGGTTGAGGAAGTGAGGAAGGAAGAAGTATAAACAACATGTAACTAAAACCCTATAGCTCTTGTTAAGTTCGTTATCTTACCTATTTTTGCCGATAGAAGTATCTACACTGCTGTGTTGCGTTCTGAAATGTATAGAGAGTCAGTTCATTAAAACAGGCTGTGAGGCATTCCATCTAATTCCTCAAAGTTCAGAACGCGTCAGTAGCTTTCTTTGTTTAAAGTTATTTGCAGGTGCCTATGGGCTGCAGTAGCCACTTTCTACTTATAAAAAATATATTGCATGTTTTAAAGTAATAATAATACATTAAAAAATAAACTTCATAATGCCATCTTTTTGGCTATTTTAGAAAACAAAAGGAAGACATATTAAAGAGTTTTCGGATGGCACCAGTAACATTTTGTATTGATTCGGTCCTAGCTGGCAACCCGAAATCTATAGAGAGCCGCGATACGATAAGGTATCAAATGTGAGTTATGTTAGTAGTAAAATATTAAAAAAGTGTGTGTGTGTGTGTGTGTGTGTGTGTGTGTGTGTGTGTGTGTGTGTGTGTGTGTGTGTGTGTGTGTGTGTGTGTGTGTGTGTGTGTGTGTGTGTGTGTGTGTGTGTGTGTGTGTGTGTGTGTGTGTGTGTGTGTGTGTGTGTGTGTGTGTGTGTGTGTGTGTGTGTGTGTGTGTGTGTGTACTACGCACGTAGGAAGTTATACTTCTTTAGCGTAACAGAACAAAAAACTTGAGAGACAATCACCCACTGAAGTTGTCGCTTTTAAATCTCAGAGTGCGCGCGCATCGTAACAACTTCACGGTGTCGTTTTTAGATGTCGGTGTGCGCACGCATCGTAAAAATTGACTCTCATAAATTTTCCCAGACGCCCCAAAAGAAGAACCTTCAAAAATATGCGTGTCGATAGTAAATATACTCTAATTAATTTGTTACTCTACTGTTACAGCAGAAGGTTGGTTTTCGGGTGGATGTTTGTATGTTCGTGATTAGTGACCCTTGGCCGGTATAGAAACAATCCCGAATTTAAATTTTAGCTCCAGAATGTCAAAACTTGTGTAACATTATATAATCTTGACTCAAATCACAACATTGTGAAGCTTAAGTTTAAATTAGGGAGTGTCTGCCTCATACTGTTTTTAAACGGCTTGTGGGTTTTTGAAATGGATGGTTTTGTCAAAAGAGTACAACTTTGGTGGCATCGATCACTGTTTTTTATTACACTGTTGTTTATTATGATCGATGTTTGGTGGCTAAAAATTTCACTTCATCGGAGATAATAAGTCATTTATTAGTTAATATTACGAGAATTACCACTTTTAATGCACAGAATATAATGAGATTTACAAAACTATATCATACTAATAGACTCAGCAGACGTCCTGCTTGCATGTGTCAATTTTTGTGGCGTATAAAAGTTGATGTGATGCAGTGCCATCTAGTGGTGAGTTACAAAAAGTGGAAAGCATGAAAAATTTAAACCTCTACGAAAAAAAAAACATCAATGTGCTAAATTTCACAGCGAGTTGTTTGTTAAACAGTGTCGAATTAATCTCAAACAGATCAACATCCATTTTTATATATAAGTATAGATAAGTCGGCTAATGAATTTTAATTTTATTTCTATCGTTTTATCATCAAGCTGAACCATTTATCGTATCTAAAAATATAATGTTCTACTATATCAGAAGCAGACTTACAAAACGTATAAAGTTGCCTGAGATTTTTAACGTACGCCTAAACTGTATTAGAAAACCGAATCATAAAAAATGTGATAGAATGAACTCACTGTTACCTGTTTAAATAGTTACTTTTTAATATTGTACTGTTTACTGAAAATTTAACTTACGACTGAATACGCCCCACCGCTGAGCACAGGTCTCGTTTCCTTATAACTGATTATTTATTACTTATTAATAAAATATTTGCGCTATATTTTATTTTATTTTATGCGTGATTTGAACCTAGAATTGCCAAAAAAGATAATATTATGTATCACTATCATCATCATTACAGCCTATCAAAACATCCACCGCTGAACATAAGCTTCCCCCATTTTGATCATAATTACCGCGCTTGGAAGGCGAGTAGGCAAGCACAGTTTTGTATTATTTTCAGTCGTTATCAAAAAGATGCTGCCTTTTACAATAACAACAGGACGATTTTACGTGGTAGAGCCATGCTACAGCTATATTAATAGTATAGTTTTAGCACGAATGGGTCGGCTCGACCGGGGAAGTACCACGCTCTACAGAATACCAGCGTAAAATAGCAGCTTAACACTGCTGTGTTTCGTGTGGTGAGTGTAGAGAACCGGAGACCCCTTTTACTGGAAAAGAGGCATTCCATCTTAGTCCTCACGGGTGACAACGCATCTGCATTTTGATTCACAAACGAGGATAGATGTAGATGTATATGGGCAACAGCAACCACTTACCATCAGGTGGACTGTGTGCTCGTTTGTCAGCCTATCCTATAAAAAAAGAAGATATGGGGTATCTTACGCCGTTTCTACACGGTGAATTTTAAATGTCGCCATTGATAGGCTATAATTATATAGATAGGGAGATAAAATATGGTTTAGTAATATTTTTAAATTATTTCCTTAAGCAGTATGTCCAGTGTGGGTAGTTTTAAGTCACGAAGTATCTGAAGCTACAATTCAAATTGTATTAAAGAGAATCAAGTGACAATCGCCTTTACTATTTTGTTTTCAGATTTGAAGTACTAGAAAAATGGGAAAAGAACACCACCAAAGAAGGGATCAAAAGTTCTTTTACGCTATAAAATACTCTTGAAATGTACAATGAGAAAAATAAAAGTCAATCACAAAATAAAATAAAATATATTTTCATTCGAACAATTCAGTCGTAGAATTATATTAATGGTAATATACATTTATAAAGAATGCGTTATATACAGCGAAATTACATGTAAAATATATCACATAATACATTAAAAATATCTTATCCTACTAATATAACTTATTATAAAGCTAATAATTCAGTACTCTATGGTAATACACTTCGTCTTGAGATACTCGTTCAGCGCTTCTTCACCTGTAACAATAACATAATTGATTGATTAATCGTGAGTTTTTGAGACGAATCGCAGTCGAAATAGCATCGGTAGCAATCATTTCATTTCCGGGAATTATTTTCATCTATAAATTACTTAATAATAAAATAACCCTTTTAATTAAATCTAGCTAGATTGTGTTCTCCCGTGTAGGAGTTATAACACAGCTTAGGTAGACCTTACAGTTGGGAAACTAATGTACTTGTATAGAGTAATGATGGAGCCTTGTGGGGCAAGGGGCGGACCGACCTTGTGCTAGCGCGGACAGTTATTATACTCTTTGGCTAGCGCACTTCACTGAGTCTGACAGACAATACAAAACATGCGGTTGGCGCGAGCGTGTTTTATAGTACTTATTTAACTAGTTTCCGAAGAATATAATATCTATAATGGTGAATTACTGTTATTAGTAACTAAGTAAAATCGAAGTCACATGACGGCAATGCTGATGTTTCCCCTAATTTTATTTTTGATAAAATTTTTTATCCGAATGCGAATACACTATATAATTAAATTTAACAATCGAAGACTGAAGAAATCTATAAAAAAATGTCATGAAAATATTTGGCAGTGCAAAAATACAATGTACACAGAATAAACAGTAATAAAAATGATCTTGTTCAATAAATGTTTTAACTTATGTTATATTTTTTTTCTAAGCGGCGCTTAGAATTAGTTAAATAAGTAGTATAAAACACGCTCGCGCCAACTGCATGTATTGTATAGCAGACTCAGTGAGGTGCGCTGGCACAAGATCGACCGGCCCCTAAGGCAGGGGCCCTGCCCCGCAAGGCCCCCACCGTTGCTCTGCACAAGTACATTCGTTTCCCAACTGTAAGGGCTTTAAGGGGGATGCTCCGATACCCCCGCTAAACATTTTTGTTTTGACATATACTTAAACACAGACACTATTTGTTTAAAACTAACTGGGAGTCGACACCAATATAGTTGGGAAAAAGGCTAGGCAGATGATGAATCGTACATAATATATATCCTAGCAGGTGGCGTTGTGTAGTTCTGCCTACCCATACAGAAAAAAGGAAAACATTTTTTTTCATTCTCGCCATCTAGTGTTCAATTTTCGTAAATGTAGGGACTAAGAATTCACCCACGTCTGTGTGTGTAAACGACACTATATTCAATGACAGATGTTATTTTCGGACTTTGTGTTGAATTGTGTGGATTTTGAGGCAATGATATGACCTAGTAAAATAAAGTATAATGTCCGAGTACCGCGATTGCTACTTCTACGACTTAATAATGTTCCAGTTACACAAAAACCCAAATAAATTAAAAAATGATGACTTCAACGCCATCTCGCGGGAATATGGCTGGGAACAGACCGTATGTGGATATAGTATCTTACTAAGAAAAGTTGGCAACCCCACCCCGACAAGTCTTGTGGGTGGGGTTGCCAACTTTTTTATATTAAACTAGCTGTGCTCGGCATAAGTGTCTCTTTTTGTCATTAGATATAACGTGTTTTCGGTGCAGTTAAAATCGAATAGGATTCAAAAATACGTACTAAAATTGCAATTCTCTTGAAATGTTTGAAATTTTCTTATAAATGCGATAACACTATTCCATATCTTTTTTTTTTTAAATTATCTTTTATAGTCATATTATACAGGTAGTCAACATTTGATCCTTAAGTTTAGATGCACAGTATTTTTATTCATCAGGGTATCAGCGACCACTGACATTATTATTTATTTATTATTAAATTTTGTGGCTTGTTGTTGTAATGCTTGTCTTTTAAGCTATGTATTCATTTCATTCGTGATCTTAATTTTTATAGATTATTTTCTTCACAATATGCTGATGCGTCACATTGCGAACTTTTTGGGAGATTTTGACAACAGCTCAACTCAGCGGACAGTAACTCAAGTTCTTGATATAAAAAAGAGCGTTTTGGCGGGAACTTGAAAACCGGCGGATTGCTGCTATAGTTTTATTGTATAAGTACCTAATGGTAAATTTATGAAAATATAAATGGATTTTGTGATACGTAAAATTAATACTATTATGGGTATTAAATATCTGCGCATGTGAACTATTAGTTGAAACGATAAAACAAGTGCTCCGATGGTGAAGATACTGTCGTCATTGGCTGTCTGCTGGCACAAGATTGAGCTAGTTAGTGAACTAGCGCAGGGAGCGATGAGGGTTAAGTGCACGTACCGAGATCCTTTCCGAAACCGGAGCGCTTGAAGCCGCCGAAGGGCGCGGCGACGTCGGTCTTGTTGTACGTGTTCACGAACACGGTGCCGGCGTCGAGGCGCTCGGCGAGCAGGAGCGCGCGGCCCACGTCGCGCGTGAACACGCCGCTCGCCAGCCCGTACTCGCTCGCGTTCGCGCGCCGCACCACCTCCTCCACACGCCTGATTACACTCAGTTATATATATGATAGTTAAAAAAAAACTTTTAAAAAGTGTAAACTGACTTTAAAGTGATTTTAATATTGAAAGGGCGAAAAATAATATAGTCGTCGAAATTGGTTGATTTGGAAAAGATTATTCACATATTTGCGCTTTTTATTCATAGTAAATCTCCTCATTATGAGTTTCTCCTGTACATAGAATTTTTTTTTTTTTATAGAATTAGGGTGACAAACGAGCACACAGTCCACCTGATGGTAAGTGGTTGCTGTGGCCCATAGACATCTGCATCTATCCTCGTTTGTAATTAAAATACAGATGTGTTGTCAGCCTTGAGGACTAAGATAGAATGCCTCTTTTCCAGTAAAATGGGTCTCCGGTTCTCTACACTCACCACACGAAACACAGCAGCATTAAGCTGCTATTTTATGCTGGTATTCTGTGAGAGCGTGGTCTTTCCCCGGTCTAGCCGACCCATTCGTGCTACAACTATACTATTAATATAGCTGCAGCATGGCTCTACCACGTATAAAATAAAAGAATTATATCCAGACATGGAAACTTTAATTTTAGGCCATATACAAGTAAGCACTTTATTTGTGCGGGAATGGAACCCGTTGTCTCTAGCACCGCAGTCGAATATTTTCCCCATGTGCTACCGCAGCGTCATTTATGGGGTCATTATATGGAGTCAATATTTATCAATATACTTAAATTCGGCTGTTGTAATGATATTTAAGTATCGCGTAATAATGTTAACTAGTGATGGTATTGTTTACGTACTTGCTGCTGAACTTGCTTATAATCATGATTGGTCCGAACGACTCCTCCTTTGCAATAAACATGTCGTCGGTGACTTCGGTAAAGATGGTCGGCATGAAGAAGTAGCCCTTGCGGTCCAATCGTTTACCCCCGTATACTAATTTGGCGCCCTCCTTCACTCCCAGCTCGCAGAACTACGCAGAATTGATCACACAAATTCACTCTTTAAAATGATATAGATATCTAAATAGATACAAATATAAGTTATTTTCTATTTCACTCCACTGCTGGAAGTAGACCTGTCCTCTCTGTTTTTATGAATAATTAATTATTGACACTCTTGCCAGGTGGATTGGCGTTATTGAACCTATATGATTCGCACCTCTGACGCTAATAGTTTTGATAATTTAAATTCGGAATATACGAGATCACATTTGCCTTGTCGTGGCGGCTTAAGATAATACATCACCCTATTTTGTACCGAGGTTTGGAAACAGGCGACTATACGATGAGCCTGAAAGATCTAATACATGACATAATATCATAATATATAAGATATTTCTGGCACACCCTTTAGTCACCTCTATAACTATCTGAAAATTATTAAGTTAAATTATTAAGGCGTAAAATCACACATCACAGTGTGACGGTGCGATGCCTGAAATGTGTTCACGTCTGGTACTGTGATCGTCAATTTGCTTGCCACGTGTGACGATTAAGGCAAAATATATTTACAACAGGAGATGCTCTTGTTCAAAAATGGACTTTGACGGACTGAGTAAAAGAAGATATACGAAACACTATATCGCTTTCTATAGGAACCTATGAGGTCTTTCCTGATTTTACAATAGTCGCCTCATACGACACTCACAAGACGAAATGGGACAATGAATACTATTATAATCAAATTTATACGACTTGTGGTATTTTTTTTTATAGAATTAGGGTGATAAATAGGTACACAGTTCAAATGATTGTAAGTGAATGCTGTGGCCCATAGACTTCTATCCTTCATTAAAAATTAAAATGGAGATGCGTTGTTACTCCTAAGGATTAAGATTGAATGTCTCGTAAAACTGGCCAGTATAAGGGGTCTCCGGTTCTCTACACTCACCATACGAAACACAGCAGCATTACGCTGCTATTTTAAGCTTGTACTTTATAAGAGCGCGTTTTTCCCTGGTTGAGCCGACCCACTCGTGCTACAACCACAATATAGCAGCTTGGTTATACCATGTAGTAGAGTTACTATATTTTTTATATAGGATAGGGTGACAAACGAGCACACTGTCCACCTGATGGTAAGTAGTTCCTGTGACCCATAGACATCTACATCTATCCTCGTTTACGAATCAAAATGCAGATGAGTTCTCAGCCGTGAGGACTAAGATGGAATGCCTCTTTTCTAGTAAAAAGGTCGGTTCTCTACACTCACCATACGGAACACAGCAGTGTTAAGCTGTTATTTGACGCTGGTATTCTGTGAGAGCGTGGTCCTTCCCCGGTCGAGCCGACCCATTCGTGCTACAACTATACTACTAATATAGCTGCAGCATGGCTCTACCACGTAAAAAATCTTTATTAACTAAATTGATTCGATGATTATATTGTAAAAGATTTTTAAACTAAATACCTCAATTAGTTTATCCATGTGAGCTTTGTGATTTTGTGGTCCGTGAACTGTACCCCTATGCAGGGGATCGCCAATCGCCATCTTCTTGGTCTCTTCTACCACACGTCTTACAAACTCATCGTGTATCGACTCTTCTACGAACAGACGGCCCGCTGCTATGCAGTTTTCTCCTTTATTGAAAAATACAGCGGCCATGCCCTGTGGTATAAATAGAGTTTAGCATTACTGGAAATAAATATAGTTACATAATGTTTAATATAATAAAAACTTTTATAACATTAGTAGTGTTTTTATTTTCTACCTTTACATTAGAATGGATTTCAGAAGTCCAAATTTTAATAATTCTACACGTTTTATGGCCCCTAAAATCCGATTCACTTTTTTAAAGTATATATTAAAAATGTTTTAAACTTTCTACCGACTTCAAAAAGGAGCCGGTACTCAATTCGACTGTATGTTTTTTTGTGTGTTACCTCATAACTTTTTACTGGGTGAACCCAATTTCGATGATTGTTTTTTTTTATTTGAAAGCTGGTGCTTCACACGTGGTCCCATATCAATTTGATCAAGGTCTGACCAATAGTTTTTGAGTTGTTTTTAATAATTTATATTGAAGTCGGTTGTACAAAATATTTAATTTTAATTTTTTTTAAATGATCAGGTTATCGGTAAAGAAAATCATGGAATTCCTTTTTAGAAGAAAGGCTGACAAACGAATACACAGTCATCTAAATCTATCCTCCGACCCCCGACTAAGATTGAATATCTCGTTAGAGTATTCCGTTTATTCACTCATGTGGCCTCGTTCCCAGTAACAAGTGGTAAAATTAAAATTCTTGTACAACGAACTTCAATATAAATAATTTATTGTTGAATTTTTTAAAACTGCTCGAACGATTTCGATAAAATATAAATGGGACCACCTGGAAAGTATACCCTTTGCAACAAAAAAAGAATTTTCTAAATCGGTTTAGGTGTCTTGAAGTAATCGGTGAACATACATAGAAAAAGATTCCGACGAATTGAGAACCTCCTCCTTTTCTGAAGTCGGTTGAAGAGGATTCATAATACGTAATAACAATATGTATTAAAAGGCAAGCTGAAAAATAGCAGGAAAGATTGCTATTGATTCTACGAGTCTGTTAATATTTCATGTACACTTACATTCCTCACTGCTTTATCCAGGTCACAGTCTTCGAAAATAACTAGCGGCGATTTGCCTCCAAGCTCCAGCGACACCTTTTTCAAATTTGAAACGGCACAAGACTTCATTATTGTTTGACCTAAAGAAACAACGCAATAGTCAATTTACTTTTAAATAGGCCTTCAAAGCAAACGATACGATATGACATCAATTGTTTTATTTCTAAAGGCAGCCGGCTTAATCGCATGCTGTGAAGCATTCCGTCTTAGTCCTCACAGTTCACAACGCATCTCTTCCTTTGCTTGATGCTCAGACAAAGAAGGATAGGCATACGTACAGATACGTACATTTAAAATGAAGCTGAAACCATATTCAACTTATTGTACGAGAACACACACGCATTTACACATATTTATGCATCTAAAACCAAGTTCATTTTAATCCCTGAAAAGGATTAAATTTCTCATTACCAGTAAAAAAGTGGTTGCCGGTTTTTGTAACTCACCATCGGCAGCGTTATGTTGCTATTTTACAATAATAAGGTACTTTGTGAGAACGTGATCTTTCTTAGACTTCGTAACGTGACCATAATTCAACTGCACTATGGCTCCGCCACGTAAGTATCCTACATTGCCAGTAGTTGGCACATGCATCTCTTATTTCGAATCATTTGTCAAGCAACTTATAAAACTTGGTAGAGCCATGCTGCAAGTATATTATAGTTATAACACGAATGGATCGCCCTGACTGCGGAAGGCTCAGGCTGTCACAGAATACTAGCGTAAAATAGCACCTTAATGCTGCTGTGTTTCGTATGGTGAGTGTAGAGAACCCCTTTACTGGAAACGAGGCATTCCACCTTAGTCCTCAAGGGTGACAACACATTTGCAATTCGATTATTTAACGAGAATAGATGTAGATGTCTGTGGGCCACAGTTACCATAAGGTGGACTGTGCGTTCGTTTGTCACACTTATTCTATTTAAAAAGCGGAACTAAAACCAAAGGATGAATTGTTGGAAAGGGCAAGTTTGAGAACGGTGGAATGAAATTGAGCAGGTAAACATGTACGAACCGATCTCCGTACTGCCGGTGAAACCCAACTTCCTGACGAGTGGGTGATCTGCTAGCGCCTGTCCGCACACCGTACCGCTGCCCGGCAGTATGTTGATGACGCCCGGGGGAATTCCCGCAAGGACCGACAACTCGGCGAACTTCAACGCCGTGAGGGGACATACCTAGGGAAATACAAGAAAAAATAGGTTTTAAATTTCCAAAGATGCAGGATTGAGCTTGAGTTTATTTACTCGTTATTTCATAGTGTTTGATAATTGAACTATTGACGTGGGTCGGTTTAGTTTTTTATGTACTAGAGACCCGATTACATTTTTACTGTCTAAAATATATAAAAAAGATATTTGATTATTAAAAACTAGATATTATTATTTTATTTTGAGAGCTATTTTCATATCTAACTTTCATACGACCTAGACCTATGAAAGGTAGATATGTAAATAGATCCTAAATAGAACCTAGACCTTTAATTTTATTTTAATAGCTTATATGACGTTGGATTGTAGAAATTGGCACGAGTGTCTATTGCCCTTATAAAAATAAATAAGTATCAAGTTATCATGACTTACCGCCGCTGGTTTCATTACGACTGTATTTCCAGCTGCCAGACAAGCAGCCATTTTCCACGACAACATCATCAATGGATAATTCCATGGGGTTATTAACGCACACACACCAATCGGTTCTTTCTTTGTCAAACACAGGTTTCTGTTAGGTCTCGCATGGTTTATAGGTATAGTGGCCCCTTGTATCTTGTCACACCATCCTGCGAAGTATCTCCACGTGTCAATGGACATGCCAACGTGGGTTTTTAGGGCTAATGTGTAAACTGCTCCGGAGTCTATTGACTCTATGGTTGCTAGTTCCTCCTTGTGCTGCTCCATTAGATCTGCAAGTCTGTAAGAAATTATTTATTGATTAATTAGTAGGGAGAATTTGTTAAAATCGCAACACATGATAGAAGGATTATTGTCTATCGTAGAACCAGATCTCTCAGAGACACGGTTGACGCTTCTACCCGTCGCCTGTCTTTGTATTTTAAATACAGCGTAAAAGTGAATGTTATATCGTCATCCATTTGTCTACTAATTTATATAGTCGCCTTTCGGCAACGTATTCTAAAATTGGAATACTTTCAATTATTTTAATTGACATGTGGTTGGGGCGTAAGAGAATCCGTTACTCCATTTCATTCCGAAGCAGGAAGGAATAGATGCTTTTCTGACAATTATCCTTAGCTTGGGAAAGATTTACGTAAAACAGTGGACTTTGCAGAGTGGTAGATAAGACGATAATAATACGTTTAAATCCTTCGTATACTTACTTAAATAAGAGTTGCCCTCTTTCCCTGGCACTGATCTTCGACCATTCACCTTCTTCAAATGCAACTTTAGCAGCCATAACGGCTTTATCGACATCGTTCGCTGATGCACTATGAACTTTACAAATAACAGATTCATCTGTTGGATTGATCAAAGTCAACATCTTTCCACTGTCGGAATTAACGAACTCTCCATTAATGAACAATTGAGTTGGGAATTTTATTTTCATTTTGTTCACTTCCATTTCAACTCCATTGTAGACAATCTCCTTCTTTTTAGAACATCCTCTAGATTTCAAAACGGCAATGTTACAAAACTCTTCGAATGTTGCGTTCATATAGATATCCTCATTTTGTAGTTCGATGTTTGCCAGCTCTTTAACTTCCTCAACAAGTCGAACCACATCCATGGATCCTGCTCCGCTTGTAAAGAAGTCGGTGTCTTCTTCGATGTCAACGCGGAGTATCGCCTTCCAAATGTCACGAGCGCTCTCTACGAATTGTTTCTCGTCAGCTGTTAGTTCTAGGGACACTTTCTTCTCGTTCGCTTTGAAGAAGTTTTGTGCTTTAATCATTTTACCATTAACTTTTAATCTTTGTATGTTCAACTGGAATGAAAATAAAATATTCAAGAAATAAATAATGTTAGGTCCTTCGAGCAGAATGTAGTCGAATATTGTATGAAATAAAAAACAAATTTAATTGTATTGTTATTTTATGATCTTAGAGTAGCGACCATAAAATTTCATTAAGATAATAAAAATATATTTTAATACCTGAACGCCATCGTTAGCGGTGATCAAGAGTCCTGCTTCATGTATGACAGCTGGTTTCTTCAAGCCTGGTATTATCAATTTATCACCTTTAGTTTCGTATTCAGTTTGCCATAGAGATGAGCCAAAGAATTTTATTTCAATGTTTGCTTCGCTAGCTTCATCCACACTTTCCTTTGTCTGAGGTTTGATAAAAGTAGTGGCTCCGGGTGAGGAGTCAAGACCACGAATGAAGTTATGTAAGGCTACACCACCTTTCGACCAATCGATCTAAAACAATGTTTATACTTTTTAAATTGTATAAGTAATTATTATGTTATTGTATTAGGAAAAGTTACCCATACAAAATAAGGGTGTTGAGGGTTGAGATACAAAATCCAAATCACTTATATTATATTTTCCATTTAACTTTTTAAAAATATTTCTTAAAATCCATGTCATGAAGTGAAAATAAACAATTTTATGGATTACTAAGTAAATATTAGTACTGAAATACATAAATACAGAATACTAGTGTGTAGTGTTTTTTGTATGACACAAAAATTTCAAAAAATTGGGTAATAAACAAGCTTAATAGTTAAAACATTAATAAAAAAAACCCGACTGCGTAAAACAGTTTACTGAAAAGTGAATAATAATTTTTCACGTTAATAAGACCTTAAGAATTAATAAGATTATAAATTTTTGATCATTTAAGTGATAATGGTTGTCCTAAATGGTTTTTAAAAACGAATTTTTTTTAAAGAAACCTAAAGATAATTTTCGAAGGCCTATTCAATGATACCCAATTTGACATAGTTCGTCAACTTTCATTTTTTTCTTTCTCACAATATGGCGTCTGGTTGTCGCCATATTGAATTTTAATTACTGTCGTGTCTTTAGTGAAATTCGACAAATCTATTGACGTAAACTCTTTAGAGCTCTCTAGAGCGCCACAAAGGAATAAATATATTATATACACATATAGGCTGAAAAACACGTTATACCGTCCTTTGCGTCGCGCAGTCTGGTAAAAACATTTATCATAAAGAAACATATTGCATTTATTCATTCACTACAAAATTTAAAAATTTCTCTGGGCATAGGCCTTCCCCATAGAATGCGTCATATTTTTATATTGGATATTTGCCGTAGTTGCAGCGATGACAGCCGCATTTTTTTATTATTTTGAGTTGTTAACAGGTAGATGCTGACTCCCGGCTCCTGTTTCTTTGCTCTCTGTCGCCTCTTATGGCGCGTCTCCACCAAAGTTTTCAACATTTGTCAACACGTGTTGACGACAAATGTTTCTGTAATCACCTAGTTTTAGCAACAAAACGAAACAATGTCGGGAATAGTGCTTCCATTTTCGGCGGCAACATCAAAGGAATACGCTTGTTGCCGACATTTGTTCCCTCGGTGGAGACGCTTCTTGCAACATGTTGAAACAAATGTCGTCAACTTTTGTTGATTTGTCAACATGTCGGAAACATAAACGTTGTCAACATTTTTGGTGGAGACGCGCCTTTACAACACCCACGGGATGATCTGGGATAGTGGATTCTCCCGCGCCGCCACTACACGCCGAAGTAACACATTATCGGCAACTAAAAAATTCGTGTTAAAAAGAAAATATACCTGATGTGTTTCAGGTTTGAAGAGAGCTGGGTCATAAGTGGCTCCCTCTTCTGTTTGATTGATCTTTGGAGCGGTACCATTTGCTACCATGTTCACGGATTCCGCAAGGGCCTTAATGCCTGCAAAAATTAAAAGTTGATAAAAACTTTAGAGACCTTGAATCGATAATAAGAACTTTGACGTAAAATTTTTTTTGGTGCCACTACAGAACGCGACTTAAGAGCAACTCAGGTTTTTTTTCGGGTGGAAGTAACGTTTGTTAAATCTATAGCATACTATTATTTATTCTGTGTTTATAGGTAGTGAGGCTGTTTTCGCAGTTTCCGCATTTATAAAGGCAACGAGTGACTATAGTACCTACTTCGTGAGTATATTATTAGAGGCGGATTAAAAGTCGACAGCGCCTTAGGCTAACACCTCATCGGCGCTCCTGTGGCGATCATATATTATCTTTATATATAAAAATTACGTGTCACATTGTTTGTCCGCGATGAACTCCTAAACTATAGATCAGATTTCAATCAAATTTCGCACACTGTGTGCAGTTTGGTCCAACTTGAGAGATAGGATACTTTTTATTCCGATAAGTGACCTTCAATATTTTTTATTGCGAATTTTTGGATTTTTTTATAGGAAGGGTCGTCGGAAAGGGCGGAACAACGTCAGCCAGCTAGTTAATTATATATATATATATATATATATATATATATATATATATATATATATATATATATATATATAATTTATAATACAGTTTAGTTTCAAAATGATTAGGATACTTGTACCCTAACAGGTGGGTGTGAATGAAAAATGTGATAGGACAGTGAGGGCGATATACGAAACTTGAGCGCGCGCCTTTTTTTACTTTGCGCGCCTGGGCATGTGCCTAGCTTGTCTTAAGGATAATCCGCCACTTTATATTATGTATATGTTATGTACACATATTATACCTAAGTATACAATTTTTAACATTATAAATAATACTTAAATATATTTTGTAGGTGTAGATGTCTAAGGGCCACAGCATCCACTTACCATCAGGTGGTGCTCGTTTGTCACAATTATTATATAAAAAAAATCATCATCATCATAACAACCTTTCAAAGTTCACTACGCTGAGGCTTATATCCTCCCCATAGAATGGTTCAGGGGTTTTTCAATATATTAGTTATATTTGCCATTGATTGACTGTCGACCGCAGTTTTCTATAGTAGTATCTAGTTTGATGTTATCAGGAAGATGCTGCTCCCTAAATTCTGTTTTATTTTCCCTCGGTCGCCTTTTACGACACCCACAGAGCACAGAATTATATGGCGGACAGACTACACGGCGAATAAATATAGTAATGCGACAACATTTATTTGTCTGGAATTTTTTTTGACTTTTTCGTAATTTAAAATGTGTGTAAAAGCTATTATATTAAATGCGCTTACCTTCGGGATATAAGTACTTGTTGTACAAAGTGTCTACTGTGTCGTCGATAGTAACCGGGAAAGACTTTTGATAAAGGATTGGCCCGGTGTCCAGGCCGTCATCCGCCCAGAAGATAGACAGGCCGCATGTTGTGTCTCCTTCTATTAATGTCCTACGCAAAGTATCGACATTATTAGTATTACACAGTAATTTTAAGTAAACATGTAATTGCATATTAGAATAATCTGTATAATTTAAGTATGAGTAGCCTAATGGCAGGGCGCGGACCGCGAGCTCGAAAGGTCGTGGGTTCGAATCCGCCATTCGATTACTGTCGTGAACCACTTCTAATACACGCATTTTAAGCTTACCAGAAGTGGTTAAACGGAATATTAGTAATGTTTAATAGTATTACTAGTATTTACAAAAATATATATAAAAAATAAATTGCTGTCCGTTAGTCTCGCAAAAACTCGAAAATGGCTGATGATATAATCGATTCACAATTGGACCCGGCAGGTGGCGCTGTTGTCGAGATCCAGAAATCACCCGCGTGAAGCCGTAGTAAAATTAGTTGAACGTTTTAAAATCTATATTAGACTCACAAACTTTCCAATTTCAAACTCCTCACTTAGAGTGGGAGGTAGTTCGAAAGTTGCATATCAGATGTAATGTACTATGATCGGTCTACTAAATTATGAGATCCAATAAAACTTTCCCAAGTCATGGAAACAAACACAGCTGTGGAAAGCCCATACTTAGAAAACGTGCAGCTTAAAGGAATATAGCGCAAAAATTATATTTTGCAATGAACATAATAGTGGATAATATATACTTACACATTTAGTTTGTAAATCTATACAAATAAATAAAATTGAAGTGTCTGTTTGTAATATCAAAATAACAGCTTTTTACTAAATGCAAATGCAAAATTTTTAAACTTAAAAATTGTCTGTCTGTCTGTTTGTTCCGGCTAATCTCCGCAATGACGGGGCCGATTTTGACGGGACTTTCACCGCCTGATATCTGATGTTATAAGGAGTAACTTAGGTTACTTTTATTTTAGGAAAAGAGTTAGGATCCCACGCAAAATAATTAAAACCCTAAATTACACGTGGGCGAAGTCACGGGTAACAGCTAGTTTTTAATATAATTAATAGAATCTGGCGTTACTTTGCGGAAATCCACCTCCCGCCTCGTCAGTGGTGTGTCTTTCCTAGTTTAGTGGTGTTGGGAGTAGTGGTGCTAGGAATAATGGTGACGGTGATAGTGCACGCAATTGAGAGAGGGCGGGAGGTGCTCTTCAAACTATGTAAGACACATAATTTTATTTTATAACGCGGATACACGCAAGGTAATTTTTTACCAACGTAAGTTTTTTCGTAAACTTTTAATATGTGTAACAACTTGCACAGTGACGTGGCAAGGAATGCAATTAATTCATTCTGAGTACTTCTGATTCAAATATAACGATAACTGTAGCATTAAAAGTTCTGAGAAAAGAGATAATTTGCACCCACACGCACACGCACAAGTCAAATCCTTCTTATAACGGGAGTTAATAAACCTAGCAAGCTAACAGCATAGCAAAGTGGCGAAGCAATCAGCTTTGTAGCGGTTTCTAACGGTTGCCGTTGAGCAATCAGTTTCAAAATAGGAGGTTCAGATGCCTGGGTGATCAGTAATCGATTGCTGAAAACAGAATTTGAAAATTCGAAACCGTGCTCGAGATAATCGTGGGACAGACGGACAGACGGACAGACGGACAGACATCGTGAAATCAATAAGTGATTTCGCAAGCTTCGCCACTTAATAATTATCTGGATAGGATCTATTAATAGGGCGTTATTTAGATTAAACAGTCAGTCCTTTTTTTATTTATTTTATCTATTTCGTTTCCTTTTTTGTCCAAGTTTTTTCGGATAAAATATATCTATCGGTAAAATATTCGGATCACTTTTGGCAATGCACTCTACCTGTTTGTTAAGTTTCATTACAATCGGTTCAGCCTTTCAGAATATTAGCTCGGACAGACAGACAGAAATGCAGACCGATAGACAGAGAATTAAAAAAAAATAACAGAGAGAGAGAGAGAGAGAGAGAGAGAGAGAGAGATACTTCAATTGTTTATATGTATAGATTTATGATTCTAATAAAGTAACTTTAGAACGTATAGGTGATTTCTTATCTCGTAAAAATTAAAATGAAGTATGCATACCGTGGTTGAGCCAATACGTTCACTCTACATTCGCCTGTATGTTATTAGTTGTGTAAGGCTAGCGTCAGTAGATTATTATTAACGCTGTTTGCTCTACTTTAAGAACATTTCAAAGAGCGTAATAACTGCCTTATATGAGAAAATATATTCACGTTTACAGGTTAAATTAGGCTCACAGCATCACAAATTTGGCCATATTCTAGAAACTACTTGGTATTATGTGGTAGAGCCACGTTACAGTTATGCTAGATATACATAGCTGCAGTACGAAGGATCACGCTGTCACATAAGATCAACGTGAACCAGCAGAATGATGCTACTCTGTTGCATTTGGTAAGTGTAAAGAACCAGAGATCGTTTTTACTGCGAGGCATTCCATCTTAGTCTCAAGTGGTGACCACGCATCCACATTTTCATTCTAAATCGATGATAGATGTAGATATCCATGGGTCACAACATCCACTTATCATCAGATGGACTGATCGTATCATCGTACGTCACCTTTTTTTAATTTTGTCATTTGGCCATACGGCCTGCTATTTTATAGTGTTGCTAGAACAAAACTTATAGAATAATATTAAATAGAGATTATATTAATAAGAGAGATAATATTACTAATATTTAATGAAAATCATTTATAGTTCTATTACTGGTACGGAAATATCTCTGCTTTTAAACCGATGAAACTTTGAAATACAATTTATTTGTAACTGAATTGTAGTTTAAAGTTCTATTGCGTTTCTGAACACAGCGCTGTGCACGCAATGCTATTTGGCGAATCACCCAGAAACTACCAACAATATACAAAAACTTCTCCTAGCCAGAAAAAGAGTCCTACCACCGAAAGAACTATTCTCAAGATAATATATCTTTTTAGGAACTATTCTCAAGCATGGTTCATTCACGTTTCCTTATTCAGTGGTATAATATATACATTTTATTAGGCCATAGCGGCTGCGGGGTTTATAATATCATGCAAAAGTTAAGGGTTAAGTTGTATTTTTATTAAATGTAGTATCAACATCTTACCAGTTTATTGACGAAGCACCTCTGTGTCTGGGCAAGAGACTGGGGTGGTAGCAGATACTCTGATATTTAGGGTACAGGATCACTTCCATTGGTATGAACTGTGTGCAGAATGGCAACACATTGATGTCGGCATTCACCTGAAGGGGATAAAAGCAGACCTTAATATGTGTAAGTTTTTAGCGCTGCAACATTAATGTTGGAATTGTGTGGAACCGAAAGTTAGCTGTGGAGCATACGTTTATTTATTTTATTCGAAACACTAACAACATTGATACATTGTAATTTAAAATCGACGTAGCTATTAAACCGTGTAGTGGCGGTGTAAGAATATCCACTACCTCATATCATCCCGTGGGTGTCGTAAGGGGCAACAAAGGGAAATTAATAATTTGTTATTAAAAATTTTGTACTGCCGACTTCAATATAAGTTATTAAGAATAACTCAAAAACTATTGGTCTGACCTTGATCAAAATCATACGTGACCACACGAGAAGTACCAGCTTTCAAATAAAAAAAGAATCATCGAAATCAGTTCAAGCAGTAAAAAGTTATGAGGTAACACACATAAAAAAACACATACAGTCGAATTGAGTACCGTCTCCTTTTTGGAAGTCGGCAGAAAAGGAGATGGGTAGCAGCATCTTACAACAGCTCCAAATAATAAAAAGCTGTGGTTGCCATCCCACTTGCCAAGCGTTGCAACTATGCCAAAATCCTCCCTATGAGTAATTTATGGGGGAGGCCTATGTTCAGAAGTAGACTTTTATAAATTTAATTTTCTAGTTCCATAAAGTCGCAAGTTAAATGTTTTGCTTTTGTGGTCAAACATCAGTTATCTTCGATACCTAATCGAGCACGATTACTCGTCACATATCTACGTTACAGAATATTCTGATTATTTTGCATTATCGTAACAACGTTGATAAAAACGTATTTCGGTTTTTAAATGTCACGTAGAAAAATCCTAATCATGTTAATGTTGCCATATTGTGTGCTAAACATATTAAATTACTGCAAATTAATATTCTTGTCATATATTGTTCAACAAATATTATATAGATAGAAATTTTTATTCAAGGATCTATAGAAAAAGCATGTCCCGTAGTTCGTAGATCTTCAAACCATCGGAGCTTACACCCAAAATGATGATAAGATATGGGTTATCCGCCCGCGGGTGACTTAATGTCACCATAGACGATAATCCATAGCTTGTTCGATCAGGACATTAACATCACCATTTTATGTGGTAGAGCCACGCTACAGCTATACTGTGGTTGAAGCACGAATGTTTCGGCTCAACCGAGTTACGACCACGCTCTCGTAGAATATCAGCGTAAAATAGCATCTCAATTTTGTGAGTGTAATGTAGAGAACCGGAGATTCTCATTACTGGATATGCAGCATTTCGTCTTAGTCTCATTCATTCTTAATTGAAGATACATGTGGGTGTTTATAGGCCATTACCATCGGGTAGACTGTGTGCTCGTTTATCAACTATATTCTATAAAAAGATTATCGCATGTTATGTAAAATTATGTGAATATATATATAGTGAAGCGTATGTTCTATAATCTTTACGCAGGTTCTTTTAATTTGTTATATATAAAACTAAATCTTCCTCGCTTCTTACGGTAAAAGGCAGCACGCGAAGGTCACTTCTCTATAGTAACATAAATGTGCAATTTATTTTTTGTTGCATGTTGTGCTTAATCATATTTCTGCATGCAATACTAAACAATGACTGTTGTGTATTATATTTTACATTTATGTTATTTATGTTTGTATGTATATTGCATGTATCATCAATAAATGGAAAAGGTGCGTATCCACTAGGTACGTATATCTGTCATTTCTGATTTTTTAAGCGTAATTTTTTCCGACTATTTTTCATTTTTTTTCTCTTTATAATAGCCATTATGTATCCACTCCTTTTTTAAATCAAAGTAATGAAAGGTGTTCAGCATTAAGTTTCTGCAACTTAAAAGCAATACCATTGATAATCTAAAATAATCTAATCGGGTGCATTAGAGGGCCTCATAAAGACCTCACAAACATGCTTGATAAAGTCATAGTTAAAGGCATATTTATTTCCTTTATTTATAATATAAAAAGTTGTTATAATACTTATAATAACTGCTTCTAACTTAATAGCTTTCTCGATATTTGAGTGTTGCTTATTTTAAAGATGTTAAAAATTAATTATTTTAGAAAAAAAAAAATAAAGTGACGTGTTTTACCCAGTGTGAAGAGTAAGCCCCGCTTTCCCACATTTGCGTACACTATCCCCGTCACTACTAATCCCAGCACCACTACTTCCAACACTACTACACTAGGAAAGACAACCACCGTCGTTAATACGACACGGGATTCGCCTATAAACGAGGCTGCAACCGGTGAGACTATTTTTATTACGCAGATGCTAGCTAATTAATCTATATTTACATTTACAAATAAATTAAAATGAAGTGTCTGTTTGTAATGTCAAAATTACAGCGTTTTACTAAATGCATATGGAAGTATATACGGTACTAATAACAAAAATACAATTTTTAAAGTTTTTGTCTGTCTGTCTGTCTGTTTGTTCCGGCTAATCTCCGAAACGACTGGACCGATTTTGACGGGAATTTCACAGGCTGATGTCATAAAAGTAACTTCATCATCATCATCATCATCATTACCGCCTTTCATAAATCCACCGTTGAACATAGGCCTCCCCCAAGGAATGCCACAAAGCACGGTCCTGAGCCACCTGCATCCAACGACTTCCTACATGTCTTACCAGGTCGTCACTCCATCTAGTGGGGGGTTGCCCTACACTTCGCCTACCGGTACGAGGTTGCCACTCGAGAAGCTTTCTTCCCCAACGGTTGTCGGTTCTTCGAGCTATATGGCCGGCCCACTGCCACTTCAGCTTACTAATCCGTCGGGCTACGTCGGTTACTCTGGTTCTATTGCGGATATCCTCTTTCTAAGTTTATCACGCAGAGAAACCCCGAGCATAACCCTTTCCATAGCTCGCTGAGCGACCTTGAGCTTCCTCATACGGCCAGCAGTGAAGGACCACGTCTCAGATCCGTAAGTCATCACTGGCAACACGCACTGGTTGTACAATTTCGTGTTTAGGTTTTGAGGTATGTGTAACGCGAAGATGTGTCGTAGTTTCCCGAACGCTGCCCAGCCAAGTTGAATCCGTCGATTGACCTCTCGGTCGTAGTTGGACTTACCTAGTCGGACTATTTGTCCCAGGTAGACATAGTTCGTAAATCTATACAAATAAATAAAATAGAAGTGTCTGTTTGTAATGTCAAAATAACAGCTTTTTATTAAATGCAAATGAAAGTATATACGATACTTATAACAAAAACAAAACTTAAAAATTTTGTCTGTCTGTCTGTCTGTCTGTTTGTTGCGGCTAATCCCCGCAAGGACTGGGCCGATTTGGACGGGACTTTCACCGACAGATATCTGATGTTATAAGGAGTAACTTAGGATACTTTTATTTTAGAAAAATTGTTAGGGTTCCTCGCAAAAAAATTAAAACCCTAAATTACACGCGGGCGAAATCGCGGGGAACAGCTAGTTTTGTATATATTTAATAAAAGCTGGTCCGGCAGACGTTATTCTGCCCTTACTGATGGCGCGATGAGTTTCATTTTCACATTCACACTTTTCTATAAATTTATTATACATATGGCAATAGCCTCCTAAACCCTCTTTAGGATTAATAGAACCACCTGCAGCCATAATGACAGTAAGCTTAAAAAAAAAAGGAAACATAACCCTTTTTTAATTTTCCGTAAGCGTATAAAAAGTTGCCTATATGTTATACACGGTCATTTACAGCCTACACACAAAATTTCATGGAAATTCGTCCAGTAGTTTTTGCGTGAATCGTGAACACACAATTTTTCTACACATTTATTTTATGTAAATATATTATATGTAAGTAGTATAGATAGATAGATAATGGATTTCCGCAAAGTGACTTCCGATTCTAGTAATTATTATCTGTTGCTTATTTCCTTCTTTTTGTTCCTATTGACATTTAATCGATATTTGTAAGTCTTGTGGCTTATGCATGGCCTGTGTTATCTAATTATATTTAGCTTCTATCAAACATCAAATCAAATTAGCTCATAGTGACCAAGTAACAGTGCACCTGATGTTGAATGGCTCCTGCAGTTCATTGATACATAGAACAAACTTGAAAAAAGGAAGCATGCGTTATCACCTCAAACGAAGTATCAGGTTCCTACAGACCCACCTTGTCTAGGCTAGGCTAAAAATAAGTTTTACCATCTAGATTCTAGACCACTATTTCTATCTTTACAAAAAGACTTTTCCTATCTTCTTTAATTTCTTAATTATTGATTTATAAATACAAAAAGTAGGTATGTGTATAATGTTTTGACATCCGCATAGTGGTTTAACCTACATAAGAGCTGCAACGTGTTTAAATTCCTACTACAGCCAATCTTGGCAATTGTCTTACGTTGACGATTCTGACCGTAAAAGAGTTGTAATTGTTTTGTTTTCATAATAATAAAAAATTAAAAATTTTGTACAACCGACTTCAATATAAATGATTACGAATAAGTCAAAAACTATTAGTCGCACCTTGATCAAATTTATATGGGACCACATGTGAAGCACCAGCTTTCAAATAAAAAAAGAATCATCGAAATCGGTCCACCCAGTAGTAGTCTCCTTTTTGAAGTCGGTAGAAAAAGAAAGACAACATAACATCATTATAGTTTTATACTTTATAGTTTTCGCGCCCAAACTCTCTATCGAGAAAGATAACGGAGTCAGAGGGCAGCATGCTCTGCTTCAAATGTATAAACCGAGCATGCATTCCAGTTGTGATCATTTAATGTAAATGCGCTCTGAGAATTCCATTTAAACGTTAACACGTCATAATAATTGCCATAGTTGATTCAAATTAGAGTTAAAACTGTCATTTGCTGGCGGTGAAAGGTAAATCAACACTCGGAAATATCTTTATTTTTTATGTGCCCGTAAAAACGCCCGCCTTTCTATTGTAGGAACCATCATGACAGTATATAAAATTCCACAACTGTACTTATAAGTAAAGGTTATTGTACTTCCTGTTTAAAAGTAAGTAACCTACTCAACGTTAAAACGATATTATTCAGCTACAATTGACAAGTGCTATGCTAAAATAATATTACTGTTCCCGTTTTCGCTACAGCCTATCAAAACACTACGGCTGAACATATGCCTCCCCCATAAGTTGCTTAATAGGTGAATATTTGCCATAGTTGCTATACGTTTAGCGGGTGCATTTTCAACCGCAGTTTATTTAATAATTTTCAATTGTTATCAGGCTGCTGCTGCTGCCCTATTCGAGTTTCCTTCTGTCGCATTTGTACCCAGCCCTATCTTCTTCTTCTTGATAACTGGCTTTACGGCCCTGGGATCTAGCCCTTCTGAGCCTGAAGTTACAATATTATATTAAAATAATTATTCTTCATATTATACTACTTCACAATATGTTGATGCGTCACATTGTGCAGCCCTTGGGAGATTTTGACGGTAACTTGAGGCAGCAGACAGCTGACGGTTGGCGATGGTATCTCAAGGCGCCTAAGCAGACAGGCACCTAATTTTGAGAATCACATTACTATCAGAGCACTTGTTTCACAGTTTCCAATAATAGTTCACATGCGCAGATACTTAATACACAAAAAGGCACCACTTTTACATATCAAAGTCCACTTCAAACCATTATTTAAACAATAAAACAGGAGCAACAAACCGCCGCCGGTCAAGTTCCCGCCAAAAAAAACTACCCAGTCCTATCTGTCATATAACCAAAGAGTAAAACTACCATAGATCGGACGTCTTTCTAGTCTTTCTATTTTTTCCCATAATCCCCTCTTACGCAGCAAAAGGGATTTTTCAATGATCAGATAAAATTTTTCCATCAACTAAAATAAAACTTGACTGAATATAACAGTGAAACATTTAAACAATTTTATTCCTACAACTATATTTTTTTAATTTCTTTATATTGCATTTTTAATATATTATTTTTATGCAAGTTCCGTGATAATTCTTTAACACGGTCCAATGTTAAAGATTTTTGTTATTAAGGTGAATTTAAGGAAAATCATCAAATCCTTGTGGATACTTATGGGCGAATATAATAAGTTATTGAGTATCTTATAATTCATTTTAGAGATCTGATTTTAAAGTACTGTATTTAGGTAATTTATATAAACTACATTTAATGCCGTTGTCTATAAAATTTAGCAAAAAGAGTATAGGTACCTATGGAGTTTGCTTTGCCGTTTCTTCTACAATCAGAGGAAACTCATTTTAAAATGGTATTAAATATAAAAAAATACGTTCGATTAACAAAATTTTGTTTTTTTACGGCCAAGGAATTTCATGACACATGTTTGTATACAAGTTTATTTATAATATACATGTAGTAGGCTATTTTTAAGGAATCAAAATTAAAATATAGCAAAATATTTACTTGATATAAAAGTAACATACGTATGGTATTTTTTTATCAATATGGCCCTTGGTATTGTGGTTATGTTACAATAATTCTGTCAATGTCCGGTCTTTGGTCTATCACACGTTGTCTTGAGGCTTTTCGGTGGGAAAGGAGTTAGTGGTTATTAGGTGAATATGTGGATAAAAACAAAGCAACTAAATATATGAATTGTGGACAACACAATATAGAGCAAAAATCTAGTTATAGGAGGGGATTAGCCTGACCAGGGAATATGGTAAATTTAGGTAACGTGACACTTACAGATTTGTATTGCTCCAGCACTTCCGGAATTACTTTTCCTTTAATGCGCCAAGTCTTGAATTTAAACACTGGTTTTCCATATTGTGCCGCAATTGTTGCTAAATAGAAAAATAATAAAAATCATCAAAATGCTCGATGTTACTAAGAATCTAATTTTCTACTGTAAGTTGAACCTATTATTATAATATTAATTAAATAAGATCTAAAATAAGGAACGTTACGGTGGTTAGTTTGGTCATGTAGAAAGAGTGAATGAGGAAAGAGTGACAAAACAAATTTATCTTGCAAAAATGAGTGGAAAATTCGGCAAGGGACGCCGCAGATGGAAGTTTATTGACCAAATTGGTGATATACTGAAGATCATTTCATTTCAAACTTTCATTTCATTTCAAGCATATGGACGTGAAAAAGGCAAGAGAGATGTATCAGGATCGTACAAATGAGTGACAGGCGTAAGTTTATGTATGTATGTATTATACAAGATTAAAAAATATATTAAACATTGAGTTATATGTACTACATACTAGAAAAGCCATTCCAAACAAAAATTGTGTCCTACTCTATGTCTTCGCGCATGCGCGGGAGTAGTAGTTGCGCTTGCGCGAAGACTTTAATTTGATATAAAATAAGATATTAATATAAAATAAATATAAGAATTTAATATAAAATATCTTAATTTAATCTAAACAAACGTATTATATTTCTAAATAAAATGTAATAATAATTATTTTATGGAATTCACAAATCTGAAAAATCTTTTTACGTGGTAGAGCCATGCTGCAGCTATATTAGCAGTATAGTTGTAGCACGAATGGGTCGGCTCGACCGGGGAAGGACCACGCTCTCACAGAATACCAGCGTTAACGGTGCTGTGTTTCGTATGGTGAGTGTAGAGAACCGGAGACCCCTTTTACTGGCAAAGAGGCATTCCATCTTAGTCCTCACGGGTGACAACGCATCTGCATCTTGAATCTTTATTGAGGATAGATGTAGATATCTATGGGTCACAGTAACCACTTACCATCAGGTGGACTGTGTGCTCGTTTGTCACCCTATCCTATAAAAAAAAATCTTAAATATCTAGTTTGTTCGGATTGCAGTACAGTTCAGTTGAACATAGTCAATGTTCGGAATGGCTTCTCTAGTACGTAGTACATGTAACTCAATTCCTGTCGCACGTCATTAAACAAACGCTATGATATATGCAGTTTGTTTATTAATTTTTTAAGTAACAAATACACCACTTACCAAGAGGGTCTTCTCTATTCCCTTTATCCAGGACTGTGAATACTCCGACAACTTCATGGCCATCCTTCTGGAGTAATTTAAAGACTTCCGCGGCGAACGTGCTCTGGCCGATTATAGCAACACGAAGCTGCTTCTTAGATGCCTACAAATCAAATACTTTCACTTCAACACTTATCTCACTACCTATTATTAATAGTGACAACACATCTCTCTAATATAGCGTCAGGCAATATTTTTTTTATTAACGACAGACAATAACACTAAAAAATACAGATTAAAATAAATCTTTAAAAAAAGGTAACTTACCTCATTAAGTAATGCTACAGGCGGCATTTCAAATTAATATGTGATTACTTCGCGTGTCTTGCGTCCGCGCACTCACTTGATGGATTGCAATCGGACTAGCATGAATTCATCTGCACGTTCGTATTTAACGAACCCTCTCCAGCATCACCTGAACCTTGACATCACTTATCACACCAAAACTTTGTTAATATTAAAAGTAACAAGTCACTGTTTTTTTAAAAACCGCCAAAATGGCAAGATAATTGATGTTAAATGTTATAACATCTGACTGACAGTTGTTATCAAAATTATTTCAAATTGCCAGTCATTTTAATTAATAAAAACAAAAATTAAAAGATTTTTTTAAATTCTAATCACTGTAGATTTTCACTGGTTTAAAAATCGAATGATTGTTTTTACACGCTTTATTAACCTTGACCTTCTTGTATCTATGTATGTATGAATGATTCTAAAATTCAGTTTTCATCCACTTTCAGACGTTTGAATAATCTGATTTTTTTAGAAGTTATTAAGAACCAATGACAGTATAATAATTTTATGACTATGACCTAGAATTTTTTTCACTAGAATTATCACAGCTCATAGTCGATGTGGGTTTTTTAAGTTTTATACAGTACTTATATTTATTTATTTATTGGCCATTTTGTTACATTACATAACGTTAGTACGTCAAAATTACATTTCAAATGATATAAGATTATATTAGATTATTAAAATTACAAATTAAAATACATCTACACTATATTACATTTTTTTTTAAATAGGGGTGACAAACGAGCACACAGTCCACCTGATGGTAAGTGGTTGCTGCGGCCCATAGACATTTACATCTATCCTCGTTTGCGAATCAAAATGCAGATGCGTTGCCACCCGTGAGGACTAAGATGGAATGCCTCATTTCCAGTAAAAAGGGCCTTCGGCCACCTGCACTCACCAAGCGAAACACAGAGGTAAACCTCTCTACTTCACGCTGTATTCTGTGAGGTTGTGGTACCACCCCGGTTCGAGCCGGCCCATCCGTGCGACAGCAAAAGCTGCCGCGTGGCTCTACCACTGTTAAATGTCAAGCAAGTCAGAAAATGAACATATCATATATTCTCCTATATTAAAGAAAGCATGATTCACGCGTTTAACTGAAATCATGTTATTTCTAAAGGCAATTTATAGTACATTTTGATTTTTAATGGAAAACCTTGCTTGGACACTTTGACTAATCTGGTTCTTGGAACAACAAATCCTTCGCAAATTTTTTGAATTGTAGTTGTGTACGTACATCTTCATTGGTAGTTCACTTTTTTGCTGGTGAATTTCCAGAACTATATAACGAACTATAAATATATAACGACACAATAGTCATGATTTTCGCTTTTTGAAAATAGGCTTTAGTTGATGTCAATCTTTGCAATCCATGAATAAATCTAATCGACCTTTTTCGACAAATCCGTACTCTTTCATTTTGTGAAGCATTTCCCCATATCGTAATAGCGTAGCTAATAATTGAATGACAATATGCAAAATAGACGGATATTACAGTTTTCCTGTCAATAATAGGCTTCAGCTTAAATAAGGCGTAATTTGCACTGCCTAACTTTTTACAAACATTATCTATATGGGTTTCATAACTTAAAGTGGAATCGAGAATACACCCAAAAAATGTCACTTTATTTGTTTTTTTTTGCTTGCATAGTTAATTATGGTACTTTTTTCTGCATTCAAAATTATTCCTTTTGCTTCAAACCATTTCCTAAGTATATTTAAAATTTCATCTGTCATTTCATATTAATACATAATGATTAACTATAATAATTGTATTATAATACATACATACATACATAAACACTCACGCCTGTCACCCAGAGGGGTAGGCAGAGATTATGGACTTCCATTTGGCACGATCCTGACACACCTCTCTCGCTTCCTCCACATCAATATACCTACGCATACACGCTCGTCGGTTAAAGGTACTCTTTCTATTATAATATAATAAATAAAATATTATTATATTCAGAATCCAACATTTTCAAAAAGAGATTATTCAAGACTTTTAGTTTTATGGAAAAGTAATGGTGAAAAATAATTTAAAATTAATAATTTTGTACAGCCAATTTCAATATAAGTTATTAAGAATAACTCAAAAACTATTGGTCTGACTATGATCAAATTGGATGGGATCACATGGGAGCACAGAGAGAATTACCAGTTTTTAAATAAAAAAGAACTATCGAAATTGCTTCACCCAGTAAAAAGTTATGAGGTAACACACATAAAAAAACATACAGTCGAATTGAGTACCGTCTCCTTTTTGGAAGTTGGCAGAAAAACATATGTAGGTATTCATATGTGCTGCAGCCATAACATAGGAGCAGTGTGGCTTTACCACATATAAATGAATGTGCTAACTGGTATATGTATGACCTTAAAAAAGACTGCCTCATTGGTTCAACATGTCGTAAGTGCGATTGCTGACTGTGAGGTCCCGCGATCGAATCCCGGGTCGGACTAAAATCAGTTATTGAGTTTTTTTTAAGAAATTCTCAGTAGCAACACCGAATCATATTGGCGCTGTTTCATCCCCGAGCCTCGGAAAGCTCGTAAAACCGTTGGTCCTGCATCTGATCTCTATCCGGTCTTGTTGCATTACTGTCCCATCAAACTATGAAAGGGAAAAGACCTGTACTTGCACCGAAACTCATGCACTATAATCCAGAGCAGATGACTAGTCTACGTTGGGACTGTCCGCCGTGAACGAAATCGCTTTGGAAGACTTTATCTGCCGACTTCCAAAAAGGAGACGGTACTTAATTCGACTGTATGTTTTTTTTATGTGTGTTACCTCATAAACCTGGATGAACCGATTTCGATGATTCTTCTTTTATTTGAAACCTGGTACTTCTCGTGTGGTCCCATATGAATTTGATCTAGGTCAGACCAATAGTTTTTGAGTTATTCTTAATATCTTATATTGAAGTCGGCTATACAAAATTATAGATATATAAATAAAATATATAAATAATCTATCCTCAGAAGACACAAGTTTGCGCGTTTACCGCTAAAAAGAACCCCTTTGTCGTATCTCCTCAGTTTCAAGGTACTCCCCTTGTTGCCTCAGCCAGTATCGGAATCCTCGGCGTCGACATATCGAGTAGCGTGCAGTTTCGTGGTCACTTGGAAGAGAAGGCCAAATTGGCCTCTAAAAAGCTTGGCGTGCTCAGCAGAGCGGGACAGTATTTCATGCCGGCTCAACGCCTGCAACTTTACAAGGCGCAGGTTCGGCCTCACATGGAATACTGTTCCCATCTCTGGGCTGGGGCTCCCCAGTGCCAGCTTCTTCCACTTGACCGCATCCAGCGCAGAGCGGCTCGAATCGTCGACGACCGAGTCCTTTCCGATCGGCTCGACTCATTGGCACTGCGAAGAGATGTTGCATCTCTTAGCATTTTCTTTCGCATTTACCATGGGGAGTGCTCTGAGGAATTGTTCGGATTAATCCCAGCCGCCAAATTTCACGAACGCACATCGCGGCAGAACTCCCGATACCATCCACACCATCTGGATGATTGGCGGTCCACCACTGTGCGATTTAGAAGATGTTTTCTTCCTCGCACAACTTCCTTGTGGAATAGTTTACCACCAGCGATTTTTCCGGACCGATACGACTTAGGGACCTTCAAGAAAAGAGCCTACTCCTTTTTAAAAGGCCGGCAACGCATCTGCAATTCCCCTGGTGTTGCGGTTGTTCATGGGCGGCGGTAGTCACTTACCATCAGCTGAGCCGCATGCTCGTTTGCCCCCTCTCCTATAAAAAAAATATATTAATTTTAAATTATTATATTTATAATTTGATAGATCTACCCATACGAGTTCAGTATCACCCTCGTATTGAACAAAAAAGTTTCTGTTTCTGTTTTACACCTATGTTTAACAGTAGCCTTTTTATAGGAACGGTAACGTTAACGGAAATAATATTTTAGCCAAGCCCCGGTCAAATGTAGCCAAATAGCTCGATCATTATAATATAAATTACTTACTTCTAGACAGTAAGTACAATAACCTATGTATATTGCTTACGGGCGACATAATCACGTTGGTGATTAAGCCTCTCAATAAAGAGAAAAAGCTACTAATATGGCGGAGATTATTATGTTAAAGCGACCTACGATAGTCTTCACGTGTGCATAACGTGACTTTCTATATCGAATACTACACATGGATAAAACTGTTACGGATTTTGTCGCGTTTACTTAAAAAAAATTTAATTCCCAACGTTTCGGATACTTTCCAGCGCCCATGGTCAAACGTCGAGAATTAAAAAAAGTTAAAATTAAACGCGTAAAAATCCGTAAAATTAGTTTTATTCCATTATCTATTACCAGTTTATTTTCTCTATTTCTAAGATAAAAATGGGTGTGCGATTTGGTTAGACCTTATTATAGTTAAACTTCTTATTTAGGTAATAGTTAATAGAAAAAAAAAATATTTTATTCAGCACGTTACACTCATACGGGAAATAAAACAGAATTTATGAATAAACAAAAAAAAATACAAATGTAAAGATAATAAGATTTCGTGGCTACTTCCCAGTTCTATTTAATTTGTTAAAATAACTACAGGACTGATTTTAATGAAAACTCAGGCATGCAAAGCAAAAGAAACCTGATGCTTTTACGAGTGGAATAAAATTGGGTTGGAGTCGATATCGCTATTTGGAGACAAAAAAATTTCACTAACATACGATATTACAAATGGACTCTAGCGATAGCGACCTCAGTACGTGGAGACATATCAAAGATTGGACTGCTTGAATCGAACTACAACAACAACAATGCAATAGGAAGTTAGTAAAACCACGTATGCGAAATCACAATTATTCGCAAATCATATATAAAACTAGCTAGGGACCTTCAAGAAAAGAGCCTACTCCTTTTTAAAAGGCCGACAACGCATCTGCAATTCCCCTGGTTACCCTGGTGTTGCAGTTGTTCATGGGCGGCGGTAGTCACTTACCGTCAGGTGAGCCGCATGCTCGT